CGGCAAGAACAGAGCCTCACGTGCCACGTTCCCCTACCCAGTTCAGGCTGGTTCTGGAGGATTCTTGGGCAGATCCAGCTCCAGGCAGGTCCTGGGGGCCAGGGCTGGGGGTCAGGCAGGAGTGTGGCCCCATCTCTGGGGCAAGGCTGGCATCAGTACTGCCCAGCCCCTCAGGACAAAGGACTGTCCCCAGTCTGTCCCCTCAGGGCCAAGTCAACTCTACAAGCCATTCTGGTGGCCAGAAGGGGTCGCTGAGGCCAGGCCCCTCAGTGTCCTTCCCCGCAGACTCACACGTGTGACACATCCTGGCTGTGGCTCGTTGCCACGGCGGGGCAGGGGGTGGTGTTTGCAGGGGCTGTAAGGTTTGCAGAGGGGTGAAAGGCATTGGCACCTGTGAGGAGCGCCGCCACTTCAGAACTGTCTGTGGCGCTCTCTCACCCTTGTGGCACAAAAAGGGCCCCTTGCGTTTCTGTGGTGCATCAGCAACTGCACAGCAGACTGGCGGGCTGCTTATAACTTCCCGCCCTGACATGGAACCTGGAAAGATGAAGAAAGCGACTTTGAAGAGCTTCGAGTGCTCTCCAGCTGCTGCCGGGAGCTCCGGGCGGCCACGGGTGGGGCGGCCCCGCGCAAGAGTGACAGCCCGTCAGAGGGGAGGCTTCTGTCTCCTTTTTCCCGGTTTCTAACCTGAAGCTAATGGGTTTCCTGCTCCTCCTCTAGATGGTGGCTGTCATTCTTGAAGGATCCATAGGTGCCACACTTCATTATTCTAAGTAACGGTAGTGATTTTCCTGAAGGTGACGAGCCCTCGGTTGGTACCATCTTTCCAGAGCAGCTGTTTGCGCAGCTTCTGCCTTCGATGATGTTTTTCTCCTGGGTCAGAAGCAGCTGCATTTGTGCCATGGGGACCTTGACTCGGGGCGACCTCCACAGAGGCCTGGTACAGGCCTCCCCTCTGAGCCGCCCTGGCCCAGCAGGCCCCTCGCTGGCCAGAGCGTGTCTGCTTCCCATCCCGGGCAGGCAGACCCCAGAGAGGCAGCCGGGGCCCCCCACCCCCGCACTGTTCACCTCGAGGCGTCATGCCCTTGGGCCACCCCCCGTCACCAGGCACAGGTCAGGCCTCTTGGTACTGGGTTCTTTGGATGTTTAGCAGAAGAGCATCTTCATTCTCCACATGTCCCTAAGTAGGGAAGAAAGGTAAGCACCACCTGTACATCAGTTTTATTTAGAGAGCAGGTGCCCTGAGCTGAGCCAGAGGCGTAACAAGTGGGGCCGAGAGACTGAGGCCCTGTGCTTCTAAATGTGCTGAGGGTCCAAATTCACGTTTTATGGGGTCTTTCCTCAGGCTTCCCCTGCAGCAGCCTGGCAGACACGGGCCATGTGTCACATGCCCTGCCGTTTTAAATGCTAGTTCAAAAGCACAAGCCAGGAGAGCGGCCCCCCTCTGACCACACGAGCTGCCCACAGGCTGCAGGGCTCTGGGCTGTGGCCACTGCCGACCTGGAGGACCTGGACAGTGGTGGCTGGCCCTGAGCTCTGGTCAGTGCTGTGTCGAGGTTTGCTGTCCCATCAGCACCAGCTGGGGTGACCTTGCAGCCTCCCCAAGTGCAGCCTGTCCCTGGCCCCACTGCGTGTCGGGACATCGCTGAAGGCAGTGAGCACGCAGCTCCTCAGCAGGGCAAATGTCGCTTGGGAGCTGCCTGACACCTGCTCCGGCAGTCACTGTCCAAGCGTCAGGGTCAAGAGTGCCGACCCCACATCCCTCAACTGGAGGACTTCCCCTCACTTCACATGGAAGCTTCCCAAACGTGGCCTGTTCACCACTTGCCTACATTATTGGAAATAAGCCGGTGGCCACAGAAGTGAGAGTCCAGAAACAGGCAGTTGCATGGACCTCAGGCTTCGTGGCTTCCTAGTGGACGTTAGCTAACCACCACCCCAAAGCCATTGGCGGGACCGAACATCAGCAGCATCCCTGAGAAACATTCAGTGGGGCGGAGCCTTCTAGGGCCACCGTGGAAGTGAACATTTGTTTTTAAAGATTTTATTTGTGGGGCACCTGGGTGGCTCAGATGGTTAAGCATCTGCCTTCGGCTCAGATCATGATCCCAGGGTCCTGGGATCAAGCCCCACGTCGGGCTCCCTGCTCAGCAGGGAGCCTGCTTCTCCCTCTCCCACTCCTCCTGCTTGTGTTCTTGCTCTCTCTCTCTCTGTCAAATAAATTAAAAAATATATATTTTATTTATTAGAGAGCGGGGGGAGGAACAGAGGAAGAGACAGAAGCACTAATCGCGGAGCCCAACACGGGGCTTAATCCCACGACTGTGAGATCATAACCTGAGCCGAAGTCAAGAGTCGGATGCTCAACCAACTGAGCCACGCAGGCGCCCCCTGAAATTGAGTAGGCGTCTGCACACCCATGAAGGAGCCAGTTTGCTATCTCCCCTCCAGAAAAGGATCTGAGCACAGGTTGAAAAGGCCCAGGTGCCCTCCCGAGTGGGACTTCTAACTGGTAGGAGGCCGTGGTGGGATCGGCCAGTTGCGTTCAGGTCAGCACTTGCAGTTGTGGGCCGCAGGAAGCCAGCCAGTGGCGCCCTGGGCATCTGTCTTCTGGGGACGCCCACCTGCCGCGCTGGAGGAGGACAGTGGTGGGTGGTCCTGGTGCCTCAGCACAGCTGTTCCGATGGTGTCAGCAAGTGCTCACGGCCCAGGGGCCAGCAGCCAGTGACATGGTGGCTCCAGCCAGATGGGCAGGGGGGTCAGTGAGGGGCACAGGTGGCTCCGCTCTCCCCGAGCCACCCCAGCAGGGTGAAGAAGGTTCCAGTAGGTTCACAGGAGGGCAGCTGACCCTCTGTGGGTCCATGTGAGTCCCTGAGATGGTGCTGTGTCCCTTGCCCGCCCCATCACCTGCTTGCCGGCACTTAGGTTGGTCTCTGGGCTCTGCCATTTGCACATCACTTTGATTGGTGTCAGTCAAACTGCATGTTAAAATTCCGCTCGTCACATCTGTGCAAAGTGATGTGGCAATTAGAGAAGGCGGGCCTGAGCTCTGGGGAATGCTCTGCACCCACGTGAGCGTCTCAGAGTCTACGAGGGGTTTCCAGTGAGTGCAGGCAGGGCCAGCTCTGCACGTTAGGGCTGAGCGACTGTCCCCGTGCCTGTGGTGTTCGGGGTGGACGCCCCACCTGCCTGTCTCTGCGGCTTGCCTGGCTCTGCCCAGGATGCTCCGCACCTGCCTGCCCACCCGTGCTGCTGCCCGGTGGCCCGGGGCCTCCCGGCTCTGACACGTTCTCAGCGTGTGGGCGGAGGGACTGGAGCAGGTGGTAAGTCTGAGAGGTTCTCTGTCAAAAAGTGGAGGCGTCCACAGAGAAGCACGCCGCAGTTACCAGTCACTTCCATGCTCTGTGGCACCCCTGGGGCATGAAGGCACATATTATAAAACACACCCTAAAGTGAAATGAGTCCAAATTTGATGACAGATATCTTTATTCTCAAGATAAAACTAGAGAAACTGTCATATAAGGAACAAAGTCTGTTTTTTCCTGGTTGAGACAAGAAAGGGTTTGAAGGAAGTTGTAAAGCAAAGGTCTTGCATCGATGTGAATGAGAAGAGAGCCTTGACCCGAGGTATGCTGTTGGTCTGCGTCTGGAATCTCCAAAAACAGACTAACTGCTGATACCTCCTGTTTTTTTCCTTCTGGGAGTCCTCACAGAAGTCGGGCTTCCCAGCTCTGGCTCAGGGCAGGTGGGCGCAGGGGGGCTGGCCTGAGCCCATGTGGGCATCCCACACACTGAGTCCCCACGGAGGGGTGGTACCAGTGCCCCCTTCCCGACTGTAGCCCCCACCTCACGTCCCCTCTCCTGAGGGCACCCCTCCCCAGCACCGTCCAAGCTTCTTTCTGCTTCTGGAATCCTCCCGGGATGGATGCAGGGTGCAGGCTGGTGGCCCCAGCATCCCCAGCACAGGCGCACGTGGCTCAGCTGAGGCAGTGAGCCTTGGAGACGCCCCACTGGCCACCGTGCCCATCAACCCTGGTGCCGGGCACCACCTCACAGCAAACTGACCTCTCCCACAGAGGAGCTGTGATTGGAACTGGGGCTTCAGAAATCCCCAGAACACAAGAGGGTTCCCCCTCATTTTATTATGAAAAATGTCAAACTACGGAAAGTTTCAAATAGGGGCACAGTGAAACCCATAAACCCACCACCAAGGTTGCACTAGTTTCACCCCATCCCTCGTCCTAACTTTCTCTGCGTCTCAAAGCAAGTTGCAGACCCCAAGAGCTGTCCGTCCAGCCCTAAACACTTGGGTTCAGAACTCAGGTTTGTCTGTTGTTTTGTTTTGTTTCAGGAAGAAATTCACAAACTGTGCAATGCACAGATCTTCAGGTGCCTCTGATGAGTCTCGGCCCAGGCACCCCTTGCCCCTCACCCCCACCAGGTGTCACCCTGGCATCCCTGGCAGCTGGGTTCCCATTTCTTTCTCCTCTATCAGTTTTGCTCATTCTAGAACCTTCTCTGAATGAAACCATAGTGTGTGGACTCTTGTGTAAAGCATCTTTCATGCTGCATAAAGTTTTTGATCAAAATGAGATTCAAGGGAACGTGTGCAGCACGCAGAAAGGCCAAGTGACAGTAGCCTGAAGCCTGTTTCAGGTCCCAGCTCTGGGAGTGTCTGTGAGAACACGGAGCCCTCGTCGCTGCCGTGCACATACTGCTCACCGCATTTCTCAGCAGGGCTCCCAGCACGCACCCTGACGTTCTGCAGTGGAGCTGCAGCCCCTGATACCTGGACCTGCGTCTCCCTCTGGCTTCCTCCTCACCTAGCGCAGACTGGGGCCAGAGTCCACTCTTTGTTCAGCTTTCGTGTCAGGTCGTCACACCACCTGTCCTGGTTTAGGGACCATTTAAGTTCAACGGAGTTTGGTGGAATTGCTTCTTTGGAGAATGTCCGGCTGTTGCTAACACGGCCCTTTGTGTTCTTACTGTCATCGTTCCAGGATGGGAGTCCCAGCTTCTGGAAACAGGATTCCTGGGGATCTTCCTGTGCCCTCTTTGGACTCTGTCTCGATTGCCCACGGGGACCCCCCCGTCCCAGATCGTTCTGTGGGGCTTTCGGTGGCTGATTTTCAGAATCATGCTTGGAGCAGTAAGTAGAACTTTTATTTGCTATGTTTCAGGGAAATGCATTGCAAAGGAGCCACCCCTTGCTGCCCTGTTGGCTGGGCTGTGCCTGCTGGGCCCCTCCTGCTACTTCCGAGTTCTGTGGCCTGTTTTTGCGCCCTTGAAATGCCCCTGGCCCCCCAGCTCTTTGCACAAGCACTTTCTGTGGGACGCGTCATGACTCTGAGCCCGTTCCATGAGGAGACTCACAGGAAGAGCACCTCGGCACCTGCACCTTTCTCCACCAGCCCTCCTGGTGGTTTCTGGAACATCAGAAACGTTTTGCGTGGTTTAAATCAGCAAGGGCAGGAACAGGTCAAGAAGTGTTACAGGATTTTTGTCCCTTCAGTGCCCGTGGTTCTTGGTCATGTTGCTTCGAGGAACAAAGAGGTGGACCAGACAAAGAGTGGTGGGCAGCAAAGCAAAGTTATTGAGCAAAAGTATAAAGCTGCCGGAGAGGGAGGGGACTGGGGCCTGAGAGGGTTGCCCTCTGAGCTTCTAATGAAGGGGTTTTTATAAACTCTTTCGAGGAACTATCTTAAGCATCCTGAGATTGGGCCCCTGTGGATTGGCCACTAAGGTGTGCCAGTCAGGCCTTTGATCATGCACCCATCTCCCTCTCAGGTTTTGTTCACATGGTGGTGGTCTGATGACCTGACATTTGGAGGCGAAGTGATAGTGACCAATGTTTTATGGGTAATTGTTTTATTTCAAGATGTCCTGCAGAGGCTGCTAGACAGGATGCTTTTGTGGTCTTGTCTGAGCTGTAAAACAGGATGCTAGTGCGGTTCTGTTTTAGCTGTCCCGGCTTTTTTGCTTTCTCGTTGGGGACCCTGGCCCTGACTATGTAAGCGTCCAGTTAATTCCTAACAGAAAGGCACACAGTCCCCTGTGAGTCTCACCCCAGAGAAGCTGCGCCAACTTCCTTTTTCTCTGCCTGCTGTGTCCTTTCTGCAGACGCCTCGCTCGCTGGCTTCAGGAAGTGTCTCCTAAAGGCCAGGTGAGCCGGCAGCTCCCTGCACCCTGGCACGGCTGCTCGGCGCCGTGTGTTCTCCCGGCTCACGCCCTCTCACCGGGCCCTAGAGCCCAGGGTTCCCCCACCGCCAGCTTCCACGGGGCCCTTGCAGGTACGCATCTGTTTCCATCACCACCTACTATCATCTTCAGAGTTTTCAGAGACACTCTCTGAATCTTAAAATCAGGAGTGACATGCTTCCTCTTGACCCCCAACTAACTAGGCACAGAGCTTGGCAAATTGTGTTCACGGTCTCTTCCACTTCTCTCCTTTTGTTAGTAAGATCTGGGGTTTTATCCTGGACACTAGCTTCTTTTGTACTGGACACCTTGTCATTCAGGTACGTGAAGTCTCCCCCGGGGGCAGCGCCCGGCACGAGCTCACAGAGAGCTTGCTTCTGCCGCACCCGGGTCCCCTCCAGTCCGCACGGCCCGCAGTCTCCCCTGTCCCCCGCGACCCGACACTGGCTGGCTTTGTGCCCTGCGTCCCCGGCAGCCCCAGGCAGTTCTCCGGGAAGCCGCTCTTCCCCCGCTGTGTAATTAGTGAGTACTGTGTGGTGAACTCCCGTGGGATTATGTGGCTGCCCTCGTCAGATGTTCGTACATGGGAGTGTGTCCCGCCTTCCCCTCCGCTCTGCCCAGTGCCAGTATACCCCCTGTGGCTGCCATTCATCTGATGCCCTCAGTCACCATGTCCGTCTGGCCAGTGGGAGCCTGGCTTGTCGCTGCGTTGCCCTCAGATCCTGAGCAGACCCAGCTCTTAGCTGGCGATGGGTGGTCCTTGAGCAGCACAGGAGTCCCGTGGGCGCATACTGCCCCAGCTCCTTTCATATTGCCAGGAGCCCATGCTTACGTGTTTCAGACACCCTTCTGGACGCTGAAGCAGCTTCATCCTGGTGTGATGACTGCCTGCGGTTCGGTTAATGCTGCATCTGGGGCGCTCTGGCTGGGAGCTCCGGGGGCAGTGGAAGCGGCCGGAGTACAGAAGGTGGGCACTCTGCCTGGGACGTGGGCACCAGCGCGGGAAGCCCCGGGAGCACACATCTGGCCCTGGGGTGGCCGGCAACGTGCCCGGCCCTGGGCAAATGCAGGTGGTTGGAGCAGCCGTGTGGGCTTAGCACGTGTCTGGACCTCACCTTGGAGGGGGCATTCTCCAGACTCTGCGTCCATGTAGTGAAAAAGACGGGAGTCCTGATCTTTGCCGTTCCTTTTCCTCAAACACTGAAGTTATTAGCTGTGTCTGGTCACCACACAGATGTTAGTAGCAAGCTGTGGTTCCATGTCCGTCTGTGACTTCACTTTGGATTTTCTCCTCAGCTACCTTTAGAAATCATAACGTGCGTAGTGTTCCCACCGCTCCCTGGGGACCCGCCTGGGACAGCAGGCTTGTCAGGTGGAGTGGAAAGCGAGGGCCCCCATGGAGCGCAGCCAGCGTAGGGGCTCTGGGCAGCGGCGCTGTCGGGCTGCCATGTGTCAGGCTCATGACGCCAGGAGGTGAGCGGCCCCCATGGTGCCTGACAGCACTCTCGAGCACCTTTCATGGCATTTTGATTGACTCTTCGCACCAGCTGGATAAAAATTATCGGGTGCACTAAAAGGTGTAATTACTCGATTCTGTGTGTTGGATGCTGCTCACCCTCCTTCGCTGGAAAGCAGAAAGGCAGAGCGGGCTTGGTCAAGGAGAGCGGCAGCTACATGGCGCCTGGCACCTCCGCTGAGGACGGAGCTGCCTGCAGCCAGAAGCCCCGGGTCCTGACCTGCTCCGGCTCAGAACTGGCACCACGGACTCAGAAGCCACGGTGTCTGTGTTTTCTGCGGCGTCTCCAGTGTGCTGAGAGGCTGGGGGCTCTTCCGGAGCTGTGCACCCACGGCCACTGTGCTCCTGTGAATAGCTGGAAACTGGACCCAGTGCGTTGTGCAGCCCCCGTCACACTGGACAGCAGACAGTGGGGCTCGGAGGGAAACACGGCAGGTGCCTGGCTGTCTGCTCTGTGCCTCGCATCCTGCTGGAATTCGGGGGGCAGGGTACCAAGAGGAGGGCCCTGGGCACAGAAGGAGCCCCGAGGACGACACGGCACCCCTGCTGTTGCAGACTTGCACCAACACAGAGCTCTGATCTAATCGTGAGAAACGAACACCACGCAAACCCCGACTGAAGGACATTCTTCAAATTTACTGACCAACATTCTCCAGGACCAAAGCCATGGAGTGCGGTTAAAGACTGAGGCCCGGTCCGCACAGGGAACACAGCCATTAGATGTGGAGCCCTGGGCCATCCTGGCACAGGAGGAGGACGTCCATGGGAAAACTGGTGAGATCGGGTGGGGTAAGTAAGGTAGGTTCACGGCGTGGGCCTGAGCGTGACAGGTGCACGGGGGCTCCACGCTGTGTGTACAGCTTTCCCAGGTGCTAGGATGTCTTTACAATACAAAGTTAAACACCTTCCATACTTGGCGTGTCTAAAGGAGGCAGTTAGAGGAGATGGTTCAGTTCTTTCAGATGCGAATTACCAGCACTGACAGAAGAAACAGAAAATCTGATAAGTTTTAGGAATTGAGCACCTTTCCAACTGAGAAACCCCCAGTCCCAGAAGTCCTCACTGATGAACAGTTTTATAAACATTTACAGAAGGAACAGTGTGAACCCTGCACACGCGCATCCCAAAAACAGAGAGGAAAGCCTTCCCAGCTCATGTTCGTGAGACCAGGGAGGACAAGGACGCTTCAAGAAAAGAACGTTCCAGAGCACTGTTCTTCAAGAGCACCAACAACTTCTTGAACTATTAGCGAATGAAGCCCACAGCACCTGAGCGGCATGAGGCATTTAAACCAAGTGGGCTTTGCCCGGGATGCAGGACTGAGTGGACAGAAATGAACCGATGTAGTTCAGTGAATTACCGGATACGGGAGAGAACTAAAATGCTGCGATCATCCTAACTAACGGAGGGAAAGCATGTGTTAACTGGTTCACAGTTAACGAAACATCTTGTGGCACACAAGGAACAGGTTTCTTCAAGCTGATACATAAACCACCCACGTCTATACCATTCTTACCTGTGGGGGACTGCACATTTCTGCCACGAGGTGGGGAGCACGCAGGGGCATCCACCTTCATCACATCTGCTTGACGTTGTGCTGGAGATCGTGGCTGGTGCAGAAAAGCAAGAAAAAGTAACAAAAGGCCTGAACACGGGAAGAAGTAAAAGCACCTGTCTTCGCAGTGAGGAGCCCACGCACATGGAGGGTCACGGGGTCCTCAGGAGGAAGGCATGCAGTTACCCGGGGCCAGGAGTCACAGACCGCGCACAGAAATCCGTGCTCTTTCGGTACGCTAGCGAAAGCTGTCAGAAAACAAAATGTCAGGCAGTCACAGTCGTCTCTCCCAAGTTCCTGTGTCCCTGGCCACGCCGCCCAGATGCCGCGACCCAGCCACCACCGGCAGAGGAACCGGGCCCAGCGGGGGTGCCACCCGGGCCCCGTGGGCCAGAGGCTGCAGCAGGAGTCAGTGCCCTCATGCTGTCTAACGACAGAGAAATCTCTGCCTTCCCTCAGACCTTTCCAAACAGGCGGGGGCCCCCATGGAGATCTGAGGTAGAAGCTCTCCCCGGGACTCCCCAGTGGCTCCCTACAACGCACCCATGCCCTGCCACCACTCCAGGGCTGACTCCCGGGGCAACATCAGCCCAGGCACCCTGAAGGACAAGGGGTCTGCCAGGGTGATGTCAGGGCCGTCCCGCTGTCCGTCCAGAGCCTGCGAGGAGAAACCAGCACCGAAGGCCCTTTGTACACACATGCTGCCGCGCTCTGAAAAACCCACAGCCTTTAAGAAGTATCTGCAAGAAACCTCAAAGCAGGTCTCCAGCCAGGAACCCTGACTGGGGAGCCCCTCTCCTTGTGTTGTCTTTTTATCTTCTCCTTCAATGATCTGTCCTTTCCTTCATTTCTGAGACTCTGTATCTTTTTTTTTTTTTAA